CTCCTCTCCACAGTAAAATTCGAACACTCCAGTTAATTACGTAACAAATAATAATAATAATAATAATCCTCTCGAGATTTCTGCATACGTGAAACGTTTAAATTATTCTAAATTTTAATTAGAAATTTACTTTGAACAAGCCCAAAGATAAATCATTAGCGCCATTTCAATAACAGAATCGATAGCAGCAAACAATATCAATTTTTAAATGCGATATAATTTAATAAAAATGTATTTTTTAACGAAATTATGCTGCCTAAAATCAAGGCTTGAGAATAGGCATTCATTTTAATTATATACACCCTCACTCTGAAACTCAATAAACGTAACTAAAGGTAGAATTTAATTTTGATGTGTTAAATGTACTGTAGTATTGTATAAGGAAACGACGAGTGGGGGCCACCACTACCGCCCCAGACTCGAAAAAAACATGGCCAATAAAAGAGTCCGTATTAATTTATTTAAATTTATTAAAATTATTTACGTTTTAATAATGATATTTTATTTTACATTAAATATTCGGAAGTTTCTATAACTAAATCACTAAATCCTTATTTATCAAACTCCGTCGACGTTTATGAATAGGATCCAGTTCTGTACTTGTATTCAATGAGAGAAATATTTTTATGCTAACCAAACCATTAAAATTTTGAAAAGAAATTCGATTTCGATATGTCCTAAACATGTTTTCCAAACATTTTATACTGTCAATCTCGTGTTAACTTACTGGAAAACTTTGACATTATCTAAAAGAAGTTTTGCAAGTTCTCACTAAAAAAGCAGCAAAACTTTTTCACAATCTTTAAACCGCAATCCTCTGGAAAAAAGTAGTTTTGAAGAAGCTAGAACTATTCTCTCCCCTTTTTTTGCATAAGAAATTCGAAATATATCACATTTAGAATTAGATTTTCGTTTCTAACGTAATTTTTCAAATCGAGAAGAGCAACTGATAGCGAACAGAACTCTTAAAATTAAATTATTTAGACATTTCGAACGTAGCAATTCGCTTTATTAAGAGAAAATGTCCATCTATGACTTCATACATAAATTATGCAATTTAATCTGTAAACATGCCCGTGTTTTTCTGAATCAAGCAAAGCTTTATTCGCCTATTTCCAGAACGAAACTGTAAATAACTATTATGTAATTCTAAAAGATTTATTTTATATCACATCGACCACTCTAGAAATGAAAGAACAGAATGGTGCATTAATTTAGTTTTTTAATCGTCATCTGTACTTGAAGATAAATAATGATACCAGCATAAAAATTTTTAAGTAGCTAAAACGACTAATCTATGGCATCTGTAATAATTCTGAATGGGAAAAAAAATTTGAAGCCAAGACCGTTGCACCGATGAGAAATTGGTAATTTTCGTCCAATTAACGAAACATTAATAGTGAATACTGTGATTTCCGATAGTGAAAAAATTATGAATTTTCAATATGCAATTAGGTAAAATATAATGAGGTTATAAAGATAACATTAAAAAAAGAAATAAATAAAAATTGGATTCAAAGTAGTCAAAAACAGGAATAATGATTGGTTATAGTGGCGGGCAATGTAGGCTCTCGCGCTTTTAGGGATCTCATGATAAATGCCTATCATCTGCGGAACTTATAAAGGTTTTCCTGTGAAATTCCGATCTCTTCGGGGAATACTGAAATTATTCATTTTCAGTATTTTTTACTTTAATCTATGATTGTAAATACTGTTTTCTCAGCCTCTTGACAAAATGAGTCTACAATCGACTTGGACCCCTACGCGTTGCACAGTCTGCATCTATGATAGTTCCACCATAGATGGCTATCGATAGTTGAGGACTCGAAATCCCATACTGATTAGGATCTTAAACTTTACACGAATCAAGTAATTGTAATAAAGATTTTAAATTACGTAAATTAATATACAAGAGGCATCGCTAAGACGCTTTATGGCCTCGCGCAATCTAAAACTACCATTGAAAATATTATTATTTCCGAACTTAATGCTCAAAATTAACTTATTGATATTTTCTGCATATCTAAGTATTTTCAAATTTTGTTCGCTGTTTCGCTATTTATATTATTTTGTTTGTTGAAAGTTTATGTAAGTATGAACTTATTAAATATCTAGAATAATATAGCGCACTATACAATACGTTTCATAGTCTAAAAAACTAGTCTGTAGTAGGCTACAGTACATGACAGTGGTGTGCGGTGACATTTGATGATAGGGAAGCTGTGCCACCCCTGGATAGAACCATTGAAAGCGTTAATTTTAATTAATTCAAAGTGTGTTAAAATATGAAAATAATCGCACAATATGTATTTATATTTTAGAAAATACAAGGGAAGCGACGTTTCCACAGCTTCCATGATCCTGTTTTTATAAAATACGCGTTATTTATATCCACTAATGTATAATGCAAAAATTTAAATGGCCGCAGTTTAGTTTTATTGTGATAAAATTAAACATTTCATATACAGTATACGCTACAATCTCGATAGTCTGATATAAATGGGACTTTTAAAATAAATTTTCAATTGCCTTTTGTCGTTTTGCCATCCCAGCTGCCTTCACGGAAATCGTGTTGGTGGAGGTCCACTAAATTTAGTGGAAACGGGAGTTTGAACTAATGGGAATTGGCAGCAGTGATGGTAATACCGGAGAGTCGACTAGTAGCGAACCACTGGACATGTCGAACGTCCAGTGGTCGCAAACATACGGATTACCGAGATTGCATTAAAAATTTCACTCATTTGTTTTATGTTTAACAAGTTTTACATTACTGCGTTTTCAAAGTCTCGGGATCTCATATTAGAACCTCACGAGGCACGAGCACTGCTTTAGACTGTCCAACCTCGATAGAACGGACTAATAGAGGAAAGCGATGATCTGATACTGTCGACTGACCAAAGATATATTGTGATAAATGCAAGGGAAACAAACACCATACTTCTAAGCAGGAAGGGGAAACAATAGCTGCCAGCACGTTCCCTAGCAGACATTCCGAGCACTATTACTAGTAGTTTAATATTCTCAAACACTATTTTTAACCGATAGAAACCTCGGTTATTTCCTAAATCCGTTATACAGGGGGGTCCATAAAAGTCTTTTTTGGCAAAAAATAAATGATATTTTAAAGTTTTAAAATGTAAGTCGACAACACAAAAATTTCGTCATTTTACTAAAAAAAGACATTCAGAATCCAATAATAACTACATAACGACGCGACCCTTTCATATCGAATTTCCAGAATAAAGTTCAAGGTGTTGATCTTGTACTTAAACTTAAATAAACCTAGTTACATCGGCATCACTTCCTAAATTTAGACAAACTGCAACTGAAAAATGGTCCTTGTGTTGTACGACCATATGGGGTGGATTTACACACACAAACTTAAAAAATAAATTAAAAAAACAAAATTAGAAATATATTCTACACCTAGAAAATTTCAGAAACGCTCAGCTCAAATTCAATTCTTAATAATTTAATTTTTTGTGCCGTTCTAGCTATGAGATTTGACTTTTCTTTTAAGGATTATGATAGAGGATATTACTAATAAGATCTTTTCTCTAAGGTCTTAATTTATCTAATAAAATTGCATAATAATGATATGTAACAATCGATCAACATTCTTGCTACAAAGAGTACTGCAGTTTAATACTACGCCCTAACGAATGTGAATACATATCGATTGATTCTAACAATAAAGGCAAAAATACCAGTGGTGAATAATAATAATATATATATAAAATCTCAATTTTTTGTACTATAAATGTATAAAAATACGTTTTGTATAAACTATGAGCNAATTATCTAAATCCATTGAGAGTAAAATTCTTAAATGGCTTCAATTAATTCGCATAACAAAACTACAATTATCAGAAACAGATGAAGTTAATTTAATTAATAATTTTGCAATAATTCAAAGTTTTTGAAAATTGTTCATTTTCATAAATAAAATAAATAAGGAGTTCATCTTAATTAAGAAAAGATATTAATTCCGCTTTTAAAAAACAACATAACAAAAAAAAATACATAATTAAATTTATAAGCACTTGAAACCTTAAAAAAATCATCATAATATAAGTTATAGTTTTGTTTTTGAATTGGTAAGAGAAAATGAAACTTAGAAGATAATTCTCTTTACAAAAATTCCAATTTTAATAGTAAAATAGAAAAAATTCTAAGATAAAATATAGCTCTGTACTAAGTTCTGTACAGATCTTATATTAAAAAAATTTATCTTGTATAGGACTAGTGAGAGGCAGGAAGGAGTGGAAAACTCTTTACTGGTCTATTGATCCAATTTTCTACAATAAAAACAAAAGAGAAGAGGAGAAAAAAAATGCAAGAGAGTTAGCCCAATAGCTCTTGAAGATATCAGATTTTAGTATGAAAGTCTTGGGGGGAAACAGACTTAATGCATTATATAAAATGAGTAAATTAACTGATTTAAATAATATATTATTTTTAATCTCTGAAAATTTGCATTACCGAACTGAATCAAAAATTAAATTTCATACGAAGTAGGAAAAAAACAAATTAACTAGGTTATATAAAATGTGTTAGTTCTTTCAGTTATTTATTTATTTCTTTTTTAAATAAAGTAGAAAAATTATATATTAGGATACAATTACTTACAATTTCTTACAATTAATCATATCAATAACATGAGATTTATCGACTTAAGGAGAGAATTTCGTACATTTTTCTTTCATTTTTGTGGCTAAGTTCGATAAAAATTGTTAAATTCTTTCTTTTTTTTTTATTTGATCGATTTACTTCATTGATTAAGTCATTTTCTCTCTCTCGATTCTTTTTTAAACTGTCATTCATTATACAACATTTAAAAGCAGACAAAGAAAACAGATACACATAAGAAAAGGTTACTTTAAAAAACTACATTCCATTCATTTCAAAGAAAAGTTTTTTAAAAGAATCTTAGCTATTTAAATAATGAAAAAAAAATTAAATTTAGATAAGATTATCGCAAAAAAATCACGATAAGTTACCTCTTGTGGCGGTACATCGAAGGAAACTGTTCTCAAGTCTACTTTGCAATAAGTATCGATGCATGGAACAATAAAGAAAATTCCTAAATTATAGAATGGGTGCTTTTTTAAATTTACACGTAGTTAATGCTATGTTATTATTGGTATAAAGATTTATTTGGCAATCTTACCGGGGCCTTTGGCTCCACCACGAAGCAATCTACCAAGACGGAATATCACAGCACGTTCATATTCTTGAACCACCTACAAAAACAATACGCTAAATTTAACATTTTATTTTTTAACCAATCAGACGTGTTAATTTGAATTTTTAAATTTTAAAATAACGGTTTTCTTGAAAGCACTGTTACGTAACGATAAAATGAATCAGTTACTTATTGCGTTATAGGAAGCGTGATTTTTAAAAAAAAATTTAAACGGTTAGAAAGCATATAAATATAATAATTTTTAATAAAAATAATAATTGTATATTTTCCAATCTCTAACATACCTTCACGCACAGGAAGAGCGAAAACGGAAAAGTAAAGATGATCAATAGAACAGAGATAGAAGTTAGCAGAAAGGCACATATACCTGTCTCTTCGGGGGGATTACCTATTTAAAAAAAAAATAGGAGAAATTATTCATAAATGCATTATATATATTTATAAATTATTTCGACAGAAAAAAAAAGAAATTTATTTAAAAATTTATTGCGATTTTTCCACGGAAAAAAACAGGGAAAACTACAAAGCAATTTGCATATAATTATTTAAGATTTTCGAAAAATTATCAGTCCTTATAGCCTTAGTTAATTTGGCAAGTTTCCTACTTATAATGCGTAAAAGTAAACTTTAATTCAAACTGAGCGTTAAAAAAATCCGTAATTAATTAATGATATTTATCTTCTGTAATTCGCATAGTCACTTTATAAATACTGTATATGATGACGTTCCAAAAATCTGAAAATCGTAGAGGTATATTCAAAAATGTTTATCTCGCTAAATCTTTCAACGCGTACATAATTCCACTGTACTCTAGCGTTAATGTACAAGTTTATGAATTATGAAAGACCTAGTAGAAGTAAATAAGTGAAGTACACTAAAAGGGGAAGATTACTTTATTAATGACGTTGAGGAATGAGGCAATTTACTTGATAAAACAGTTACCAGGCTGTTGTCACGTGATAGATTAATCATTATTGACTTCATTGATGATTCCCTCAGAAAAAAAATAAATAAATTAAGGAAGAAAGGAGCGTAGCAGGGGAAAAATTATGAGCGAGCAAACCTTAAAAGAGAACAAAGTATATATAAAATTTAAAGAGCGCAGAACGATTTATCGATTTTTTTTCTTTGTAGTAGAGTTTAATGTAAGCCAGAATGATGTTAATGGATAAAATATTGAAATTTTATTATTTAAAATGTACAATTAAATTTAAAAAAATAATAAAATAAACTGTTACGAATCGATATTTTAGCGTCTTTTTACTGGAAGGAAAAGAAATCGTGGCACCTGACAAAATCTCTAATAATTCTGACTAACGAGCAATTTATCAGTCGTTTTTCTTTTTTCAGATAAAAACTAAGAATAATTTTGACAGTTTTGATGAAAGTTTTTAAAAAGAGCAATTAGGGAAAAAAATAAAAATAAAAAACAAACTCAGACGAAATTCTACGAAACAGAAAAACAATTCGTTTCTTATTCTTCGTGATGGGTTCCGTTAAACCAACGTCCATTTTTGAAACTGGACTGCAGTCAAAATAAACAAGCGGGGGGTAATAAATAAATTTCCATTTGTTGCTTGGTGATCGAAGCCAAGTAAAACACGATGAATGACGAATTTCTATACATTTGAAATTATTATAAATCGATACATTAATTAAATCGTTTATTTTTAAAACCACCCTACTTATGCGGTGTCATATTATCGTCGGTAAAAGTTCTTTAACACAGCTGTGGTTATTTTTGTTATTGTTCTAATGATCTAGTGCTTTGAAAACATGTTTTTCCTTGCACTTTTTTGCCCTCGAAAAGTTTACTAAGATTATTTTTGGATAACTTTCTCTGTTCTTGTAAGAGACAATGACTGGTTAAATGAATCTAGGCATGTAGCCACGACACGTGATTCATTTTTTCTGCCCTTTTTTTCTTTCTTCAGATCTAGATGGATCCGTTTCTGTGTAAAAATCCCCACAAACAGAAGTCCGCAACTGTTTAAACTCTATGATAATCCAATTTCGGAGAGCTTTTCTTTATACCTTCCGCAGTACAATACATCATCCTGTCGATAACACATTATTAAACTTCAGGAAAACATACAATTTCCCCATATTTATGGTTCAGAAATTCCGGATATTTATTAAACCGTTCTACTGTTTGAAATGCCAAAGAGGGATTTAACGTGAGGTAACCAATGTAAAAAAAAAAGAAAAAAAATGGAGAAATTTGTGTTCTGATTGACCTATATTTACAGATATATAAATCTTTTTCTGTGGCTACTGATAAATTGTTTAAATACCCGAGTTATGAAAACCAAACACGTCTACTTCTGATGACGAAGTGTTTAGAAGCAACGCAACGAAACATAAGCACAAAAAAGTAGGAAAAAGGATGCAGTCAGACTGGCATCCTTCCAAAAATTCTAAAACTTATGATAATACCGACAAATTGTCTAAAGTATATGCGATAATAATGACTATGCTACGGTTTACATTCTCACGATTTTTCTTAAAAATTTAACTCGATCCACCTAAAAGAAAAAAAGAAATTTATATATTAAGAGGGGGAAGAAACCATCAAGAAGAAAAAAAAAACAAATATAAAACAATTTCACTACGTCGTTTTATCGAACGTTTAAACTCGTTAATGAAGAAAATTACATCATCAAAAATGCGATATAAAACGATCCAATTAAGCGAAACACAATAAAGTTTGGCGTTTAAGTAGATAATCAATCGACTTAATTAGCAAAACTTACGATTCAGCTGAGGTATCCATGGCTGATAAATTTGTGCTGATTGAATAGATTTGGGTTGATAAGTCGTCTCAGGTTGATAAGTCGTTTCGGGTTGATAAGTTGTAGAAGTTTCTGATTGACTTACTGGTACAGTGGGATCTCTCGAAGCTACACCCTCTCCCATTATCAAACCTATAGGAGCTATCGGGTAGTTATCCATAACTGCAGCAGACTGCTTTACTTCAGTGTTTCGAGCGTCAATGTGAGCAGCTGCACTGAGCCGTCTCAGAACTCACCTAGTCCTACAATAGATATAAACACAACGGGTGTTTTGCGTGTCTTGTGCCTGTCATGTTTGAAGACAAAGACGATGATTAGGTGTTTTTATGGAAAACAAGCTCTATGTTCCGCCTGTAATGTCGTGTTAATTAAACTGATGACGAAAAACACGGAGGAGTAATTTGCATATACCTGAAGTGTTTTGCGGTTTTATCTCTGGTGTGTACGCAACACATCGATTCAAACAGGCAATTTTAAGTAATGTTTCAACAGTAATTGAAACACATGTATAAAACTCGCATTATTTCACACACATCGTTATTTCTGGCGTATTTCCAAATATATGTCGAAAACTTATAGAGAGAAATTTGCCGATTTTCTTCTTGGTTTATCTCTTGATAGACACATTTCAACTGTTGGGTACTGCTATCAACTGAGTTATTATTTGACAAGTCAATAGAAGCAACATATTTATTATTGTAATTCATACGATCCCTTACGAATTTTAAGTGCCCACTTGAAATATCCCACTATGGTTAAATGTTTGTTTAAAAATAAAACTATTTTATATATAAACAATTCTTAAAAACGTGTCGTTACTCGAAACAACTTTCAAACATTTACACGCGAATTTTTAGCGTTTTAATAGTTTTTTAACACTAAAAAAACAGTTTATTTAAGTTAAAATGTAGACATTTACAGCGGCAAGGCTGCGTGTTATAGAGATGAAAAGCATTTGATTAGCTTCACTAGCAAAGTGATGTTTTTTCGTTAAATTGTCCGAAACTCCCGACAGCTGGATATATTTCCCAAACCATTTTTCGATATGTTGTCTATAGGAATATCAAAAATTTTATTTTCTCTTCTTTTGAAATTCTAATGATTCAGCGCGATTTCTCACGGCAAGGCCGCATCCTTCCAAAACAGCATTGCGTAAACGTATTCGTCCCGCATTTTAAAATTTTAAAACGAATATTTAAAAAAACAAAAAAACAGTTTTAAGATTAAAAAATAAAAATAATCGTATAAAGAATGCCCAAAAAAACCAATCAATTTTTTACGCTTCGGGATAAGGTACAGTAAATATAAATAAAGTTCAAACAATATTAGTTTCTTATACAAAAACAGAGCCAAGTGACGTGCTTTGCCAATAACTTTTTTATTTTTCTCCGCCAAGCTGGAGGTCCACATTTAAATTATCGCCATAACTATCATCTCATACAGCTACTTTGATTAGTCTTAACGATTGTTGAACCTAATAAATTCCTTCGTATATAACTGCAAAAATCGGGAATTACACAGTGTTTTTTTTTCATTTCATAATCTATAATAAAAACATTAACTTATTCTATCGTGTAACATCTAAGATACGGAACTTCATTCGCAAGAGATGCCAATAAAATTTCCATTCTAAACTCCTTTTTAAAAAAAAAAAGAAAAAATTTAGAATTTTCCAGCAATTTAAAGCCTTAACCAAAGAAAAAAAATGATCTCGAATAACTTCACATCAGAAAGTTAAAATTTCTCGACGGTAATTAAACTTTCTTAAAGTTATCTTCCCTACAAAGTTTCAAATTTGTTATCAAATTTGAAACTTTGTAGTATGACGTATCAGCAAGATGCAGCTTAAAATTAATAAAAAACGTTTTAAATTCTTGGAGTAAGATAAGAGAATTTGTAATCTTTACAAGTTCTGGACGTGATTTATAAGAGGATTCCGTGGGTAAGAACCAGACCTATTCTAAAACAAACAAACCAAAGCATATGTTTATTATCCGAAACAGATTTTGTCGCGTAAACGTTAGACTCTGACTAATTTGTTTTAATGCTAGAACCGATTATTTTTAGAAGAATTTCGATAGAGAAATTAAAATTTAAATAATTGATAATCTTATTCTTTATATAGAAAGAATAAAAAAATAAAGAAACACAGCAGAAAGGTGTAAGAAAACTCGGATAACGCACATTGACCTCACGCAGGGTTCATAAAAATCTCCATAAATTAATACATTAAAAAAAAAGGAGATAAAAATTATCATTATCGATTCCTTTTTATGTAGCAAATGCAATGGATCAACACATAATTATGTTTACATTTTAATTATTCACAGTTTCAATAAAAAATTTAAGTTTAGAAGAGGATTAATGTTCTTCCTTCCATAAATAAAATTGCATCAAGTTTCTTCTGGGATTCTTATATTTACTATCAAATGATATAATGATAAAGCTGTGTATAATAGAATAAATTAAAAATTAAGTCACCAGTATTTAAAACTTTTGAAAAAAATCAGCAATAAATGTTAGAAACCATATATCACAAAGGCTGCACAAGCAACTCCCAAACAATTGAAATATATTTCAGAATTTTGCTTTTATTTTTTTTTTTTTTTTTTTTTTTAAAAAAAAAAAAAAATGTTTTTTTTAAAAATTTTTTTTTCTTTTCTACTTCTAAACATTTTTATTTAAAAATTTATTGCGATTTTTCCACGGAAAAAAACAGGGAAAACTACAAAGCAATTTGCATATAATTATTTAAGATTTTCGAAAAATTATCNTCATAAAAATCTCCATAAATTAATACATTAAAAAAAAAGGAGATAAAAATTATCATTATCGATTCCTTTTTATGTAGCAAATGCAATGGATCAACACGTTCGAAATTTTAATTCTGTCAACGACGTAGTCATGTAGCAAACCTGGAAAAAAACTTTAATAAACTCCACATCCCATCCGAATCTAGAAGATAATTATGACTTGATAAAGGGAGCGTAGGGGGAAAAATCGCAGAAGAGAATAAAATCCATTTTAAAAAAATGATCTAATTTAAGACGGATCGAGCTAGATTTGCATATAACAACTCACCAGCAGAAGTCATAGCCTGAAATCGAGATAGAGCAGTTTGAGGAGGAGGAGGTTGACGAAGCTGGGATGCTGTAGCGGCATAATACCTATCATCGGCACCCGGGGGTGGCGGAGATACCGGAACTTGAGGGGTTGTAGCAGCGGGATATACTTCCATGAAGACTACAATGACCTTAGAGCAGACTACACATAACCCGCGACGTACCACTTCAGCCACACGAAATCCAATGGCATTTCAGTAGTCGGTAGCGCCCTCCAACTTCAACAACTGCTCCTTTCTCCGCAATAAGAATTTTTTTTCCTCTTGTTATCTGAACACTATCCAGACTATTTACGCTGTTATGCAAATTCTTTCAATAATTCCTCGTAAGTTCCGACGCTCTCGGTAGAAGAAGTGCGTGTATATACATATAAATGTAGTGGAAATATTTAAAAGGTCGCTTCTAATCGATCTATTTTCCTTTCCGCGAGAGAAAGGGAGAGCGAGTTTTAAAAAAAAAAAGAGGAAATTACGTAAACTGTTATAATTTAATTAATCCCGACTTAAATCTTCCACATTTAATGGTAAAACACGCGCTATTTTTATTTCCTTAATTAATGAATTTGAAGTGCGCTGAATTAAAAACATTGCAAAAACTAAACTGGATTTTAAGTGAGCGATTGATTGAAATTTAAATATAATTAACACGAATTCTGATAGATGAATTATATCTAGCGTTAAATTTATCGCTAATTTTGAACGGGGATCAACGATTTGTCATCATCATCATCGGGGCGACGCTTTAGATTTTCTTCATCCATAAATCTTAATATTCCTTTATAGCTGGGGAATTTCTTCGCTCATAAAAAAATTATTAAGGCATTTCGACTTATACGTGGAACGGAAAATTTTTAAAAAATTGCTACCTCTAACGTTTCCGAGCTTCAGTTTTTTTAAAATTCGTACAGAATTGTACTTATATTTTGCCTTTAAACTAAGTCAGCGCGATATACTAAAACATAGTAAATTTTTAAAATAAAAATCCCCTAAGGTACGGACGATATAACGTATTAAAAACCGAAGAAAACGGCAAAAAAAATATATTTAAAATCAGCTTTAAAAAAGTTTATTTTAAGGCGTAAAGTTCGAAAGTTGCATAAACGGATTCAATTTAAAGTTGCAATATAAATTTTAATGTAATTTAATAATTTACTCTTTAAATATGAAGCTCCTTTAAATCTTAATTTAAAAAATTAGCTTAATTCAAGATTACTCCGGCATATTTTGTCCTATAACCAGTATTAAAATCCGTAAATTCTTGTGTGAATTTCACAAGTTTTACGGATTTTAACAGTAAAATTTCCACATAAAAGTAAACTTATTGCAGTAAAATTCGCATAGAAAATACAGTGTATCTCACAGAATTCGATAAAAAAATAAACTGTATTAAAATTTAAATTAAAAAAAATCTCATCCATTTTCAACTAAACAAAAAGCTAATATATATTTAAAATTTAGCGCAATTCCTTCTAAAATTTTAATATACTTAAATTATATATCTATTTAAGCCCTATAAAATTTTGCTAATGATATATATCAATGTCATCAATTCATTATCATTAATTAGATTTTATTGCCACTTGGAACAAAAAAAAATTGATAAATAAATTAAGTAAATTGATGAAAAACTTAATTAAAATTATTCCTAATTAAGGAAAAATAATAATAATAATAATACTAAAAATTTCTCTTAATTAGGTACAAATATTAATAAAACACTGCTTAAATATAGAATTTTTTTGCAAGTTTAAATCTTAAATATTTTTAATTAAAACCATTCTGTTTTTGGAATTAATAATAATATTTTATATTAATTTTATAATTGGTTTCATACAAGAAGAGCATAATAATTAGATTTAAAATTACTTATTTCTCATTGAGGCTTCCATTCAAATTAAAATTTTTTCTTAATTTTAATTCAAACTGATTAATTAAACAAACAAAATAATTAATTTATCTGATTTATAATTAATATAGCATAATTATATTTGCAATGAAGACATCAATTATTTAAATCAACACATTTGATGTATGATGCGTGATTGATGCATATATTAATAATTTGCATATAAATTTGTTATATATTTTTATCTTTTATTAATTAATAAATCCTTTTCAAAAATATTTTAATGTAAAATCTCAAAATATTTAATAAAATTATACAAAATCTAAATTTTTAAACATTGCTCTTAGGCATTGATAAGTTTTTAATTAAAAACAATTTTAAGTGCATGTGACATTATTAATATAATTAATTATATATGTTCTTTATAGTTTGTTTACATTAATTTATTTAGTTTTAAACCACATTTTCCAGCCATATTTAATTTTTCACATTAACTAAAACCATAATGAAGCATTTTAAAATATGGATTTTAAACAGAAAATTAAACAAAAATTCCTGAATTTTATATAATTTCGAAGTTACGTTTACAATATTGACATTAAAAAATCATTTATATTTACGAATAAAACGTATATTTGAATTTTGTATGTACACAACCAGGAATTTCATGAGAATTCTTGATTCAGGAAAGACAAACAAGCCCTTGAATTTAATATTAATCGTGATTTATATTGTTACAAACATATTTACAGAGGGGGAAAAAGTTTTGTCAATCCTTCGATACTAACATGTTAAAACGCGGCGCGTAGAACATATTGATATATCCTATTAAAAAAATCTATTTCGTTTCCTTTAAACACACAAATATTTTTTAAAAAACGTAACTTAACATTAAGAATACATTTAAAAAAAATTATTTTTATTTAATAGAATTTATAAATAATTATTACAGAAATACAACCAGCGCGCGCTGTGACTCGACGCGACTCAAAGCGTAGATAGCGTAAGTACTTTATCTGAATATACAGTAGTTTAATTTATTATAAATTAAATTAGGGTTTAAAATTAACAAAAAAATTAAGTTTTTTTGTCAGTGTATTATTACACTATTTAACACATATATTAATCTGTTAGCTTTTGAATTAATATTCATAAAGACGATTCCCAATAGAAACATTACAACTCAGCATGTTAAAGCAAAAATTCAGTTATAACATGAACAAAAAAATACCTAAAAAAGAAATTTTAAACTGTTCTGTGCTGAAATTTTATCTGAGAATAGTCGAAAGTTTACTTTGCTTTAGTAATTAGTCAGCATAATATTTAATGAATAATTACATGAACTAATGGCGCTAAAGTAAACTCGTATCCGCCGCGCAAACTGACGCATCCTATAAAAAATACATAACAGATGTATCAAGTGCTACCTTTTGTCACCCAACACGCTCAAAACGCGCATTTAATCTTTATTTAAACTCGAAATTAACGAATTTCTCCTAGAGTACACGGTGTCATTTTCTGTTCGCGTCAAGGTGCGCGCGAATGATCGCGTCACGCGCGTAGATTTGCGCTACGCGTAAATTATGTGCATTACGAATGTATCAAGTGCCGTTTGAGTGATTTTACACTGAAAACGCATTCTTAACCTATATTTAAACTTTAAATTACAAAAAAAAAAAAATCAGTAGAAATTAAGCTTGGATAATTATTATTATTAAATGGCCCAATCGATGGCAATTATAACATTTAATCAACAAAAAACCTTAACGATCTTTAGTCCACTCTATTAAGAAATTAACTTAATAGTATCAAAAAACTTTACGCACTTCTCACTTCCGAAAATGCTCTAACTTGATTATAATTAATTTTAAAATATTAAATATTGAAATAAAAGCTTTTAAATTGTTTAAAATTATTTTCTTATATAGCGAAAAACAAAAAAAAAAAAAATTTCAATTTTTCCCTTCGGCCTTTATCCAATATTTAAAACACGAAGAAAATATCGATCCGCGTTCCCTTATACAAATCTCTGCCATTAGCAAGATGCATTTTCTAACCGTCTTTAAGATAATTCGTTTATAAATTATCGAAAGAAAATAATTTAATCAAATCTCGTGTAAATTTTATGATTTTCTTCCTATTTATAAACATTTTAATGGTTATTATTAACAATTTTACCGTCGAACTACCTTTTTGCGTATGTATATTACATAAATAAACGGTTAAATCGGGCGTAATAAGTTAGAAACAAACTCCCTTCCTTCCAGTTTCAAATATTGAATTTTTCACGCAAAAATAAATAAAATTAATTATATTAATATCGATTAAAGTATTTATATTTTTATTATTTTAAAATTATAATAAAATTTTGAAAAATCCAAAATATTTTTTTTAATATATATCGCAGCCAACGATGTCTATGGCCATTAAGACCATAGACATCGTTGGCT